TAAGTTTTTGTAATCTTGGGAATTAGATACAAAAACCTTCAATGGTTTGACGTAATTGTGGCCTGTCTCTATCTGAGATCATTAGGTACTTCAGTGTTGCGTGAAATTATCTGAATGGTCATCTTAGTTTTAGGCTTAGCCTTTTGAAGTCTGAATTTTTTTATAACTGGTGTTTCTTTTTCTTCAGATATGTCCTCTATGTGCTACCAAGGTGCGAACAAATATGGCTACACACGTCATCGTGCAGCATGAAAGTATATTAAAAATATCCTTCACTTCCTATATTCCAATTTATCAGTTCCACACGGGAATGGATAGAGATAGGAGTTATTATTTTTCATAGCTGATTGTAAGAGAATAGCAAATCAAGCTACTACAATTTCTACCACTTGCATATTCTCTTGGTTGCAGTGTATTTTGAAACTTGTTCTTTATAGTTAATTGGGAAGATAATATCGAATTTCTTGGGGTTGAGTGTCAGCTCACTTGCTGAGCTCCTTACCTTCCACAATTGAGGTGGAGGGTTCAAATCCCATTATTAGCTTACATGCATTTCCTTCTTTTCTATTCTCCCTCCCTAGTGTATTTTTTTTTTAAAAAAAAATAATTTTAAAACATGATATTGAATTTCCCATGTTGATATCTGGAATAATGACCTTGATATTTGCTTATATGGTGAACTGGCATGAGTAGTCAAGTGGCTACTTAATTTTTCTCTGTGCACTGCCTGCATAGTTCATAACTCCAATATCTTGCTCGGTCATTATATGTGCAAAGGTAGTGGCAGATGTTCTTCCTTCTTTTTGTCTCAGTAAAATTAAGTTTTATTAATATAGCTGTACTAAATTAACTTTGCTGCTTCCAAAGGTTATAAACTTTGCCATCAATCCTTTTCAATAAAAATACAGAAACTTTGACCTCTTTCATGTTTTTTGTTTTTTTTGAGTTTTTTCATAGAGCATGAATTTGCATCTTTCTTTAGTAGAAATGAATGTTATATTTTATTTATCATAGAACACGTGGAGCTTTAAGTTGATTCACCTTAACACAAGCTTACGCACTTTGCAAAAGGAAACATAGAAATGGTGGATCTTTCTCAGCCTTATCCTTACTGAGGAAAGAGTTGTTGAGTGTTTATTTGGAAAAGAAGTCCAGCCATGTTAGTTCTTCCTCAAATACGGAAACCAACCAGCTGCTGTTATCATTTGTTGGCAATCAGCAGCCTGCCAAAAGATCTCCTGCAAGACAGCCCTGCACTTCAGCCGAACCAAGTCTATCCAAGAACAGCCTAGATGACCATATTAGTGAAAGGTAAGAAGGTTATTATGTTTTAATTTCTGCAGTTTCTTCATAGTTTGTTTCCCTGTTTTCTCTCATCATATGCCAACATGAAATGTCACTAACTATTATCATGATGAAAAACAACAAGTTAGTGGACAAAAGAAAGCTGGATCTATAGGATTAAGCACCTAATATTCTACCATTTATTAGAAGCTTGTTTTCCATCAATTATTGTCATTATTACGAACTCATTGAAGAACAACATGTTGTAACTAAATTCAAACTTAGAATCGGACTTGAAATGATTGCTGAGACAACTGGAGCACACAGATAGCTAATAATAAATGCCTCAATTTTTGCTTGGTTGAATTTCGCTAAGTGGAGTTCATGGAAATGGATAATTATCTATACTGGGCATTGCTACTTGGATTTTCTTTTGATTGCTGCATTATTGTAATTGTACGCATTGCATTTCTGGATTATGCCAGTAGTGAGCTTAGCGGTAAGTTAGATGAATTCAAGAACAAGGCGTTCTTAGATATTTTGCCTATGCTGGATTTGTAGGAGTACTTTACATATATCTCGAATTGTGAGAGAACCAAATCCAGCCATTTGCAAGGAGTGGGGTAGGAATACCAATGCATGATCCCTGAGTTTTTGGATTTTGTTTTTTCCTTGCAATGGAAAACCCTCTAGATCCATTTGCTAAAAGGTGAAAATGCCTCAGTCAGAAGGTTTTTAACATAGAGCCAACTTCGAGAATCATGGAACCTCTTTTGTTTTGTGATTTCGACCAAATTTATAACTTTCTTATCACAGAGAACAGTAGGGCAATAAAAAGGTGATTTATGCATCTTCTCTTTAAATTTGTCAGAGAGACACCATTTAAGTTTATCCTCCCCAATCTGTTTAGCGCCACCAGGAAAGGTTGAACCTGATAGCTGAATCCTGATGCTTCCATTCAAAAGTTCACTCCTCCTTTTCTTCCTAACTTCATTTCTGCTAGATTTCTTCTTGACAATTCATCATCCTTCTTCAATTTGTCCTTTCATCAGTTTAATGCCTTCCGTTTTTCTAATTGTTCTAGTCATTTGCACATTTATTCATTAGCCCTATGGCAAACACCCTCCTGAACTAAACCTTAACTGACAAAGAAGCTGGTTTATTTTTAATTCTGATGCTCTTTTCCTTCAATTGGCAAGATCAGTGTTTTTCCTTCATGAATAACTCGAGTATAGATAGAAATAAAGATTATTTGAAATGAACATAGCAGGAAGCATGTGATGAGAATATACTACATAACCGATGATTGGTCTTTCTCCAAAATGTTTTAGCTTGGGAAGCTAGAAAAAGTTTTTGTTCAAGTGTCCATGGAGCTGAATTTGGAACTTGAGTATTTTGAGAATATTAGCTGCATCTTTTCCTCACTTCATTATTGCTACATGTTATCCTAAGTAGCACGTTTTTTTTTTTTGATTTCCTGCTATCTCCTAACTTTAATGTGCCTGGATTGAAAAAAGTTGATTCCTTTTATTTCGTTCAAAACCTTGTCAAAGAAGCTCCCAAGCATTTCCTTCAATGGACAAGGATCAGGAAGAGAAGGTCCAGAGATCTGAATTCGTGAAAGGACTATTGTTCTCCACCATACTCGAAGACTGGTTATGAAACTGAACCACCCTGCTGCTTTTCCTTTCTATGGCTAACTAGCACAGAAGCTCTTTGAAGATGCTCCTCGATACATGCTGATAAATTTACTAGCAGCTAGAGGCTGTTAGATGGAGTTAAATCTTTCCTCGTCTCCTATTGACTTGCTCCCATTTGGATGACGTGGTTGCTTATGTGAAGATATGTCCAGTTGATATGCTTTAACAGAAGAACTTGTTTCAAATGACGTGACTTTGGCATGCTATTTCTTTTTCCTTTTTTTTTTCCTGCTAACTGATGTAGCATATACTATGGCTTCTTGACTATATATATCCCCGACTAAAAAACAGAAGTTCTTCATTCTTATAGTCAGATCCAAAATGATTTGATTATGAAGTAGCATGTTTACAGTTATTGTCACATTCTGCAAAAGAAATTAGATGTAATTCTTTCGATTCATTGTGATGACTATCAGGTGCAAGTTTCTTCAGCTTTGTTGTTGTAGTCCCTAGCTTCATGCTATTTTATCCTTGTATTAGTCTCAAAGTAGAGTAAATTAGAGGTTCAATGGGGTTATGACTTGAATGTTGTTTTAGAATTATCAACGTGAGTTCTATAAGTTGGGACAGGAAAGACTTAGAGGTGTTTTACTCGCAAGGGTGACCGAGTTGGTTGAGCAAGTGATCTCTCGAATGGGAGGTCTCAGGTTCGAAACAGACATTCTCAGTTGTGCTTGTTGCGTAGAATTTCCTAGTGCGGTTTACCTCTCTAGTGTGGGGTTGGTGGTCGGCAGACTGTTTCGTGCGCATCTGAAGGGTAGCGGTTGCAGGTTCTCTTGTTGTGACTTAAACGAATGTTCCCTTTTTCCAGTCATCATAAGTACTCACTTTCTACCTTGATCAAGATTTACTTTTGTATTTGTAGAAGTTTTGCTACTTCCCGACACCATTTTTGTTGAACACAGAGTTCAAAATGTTACATTTTATCTTTATAGAAAGAAAAAAAATCTAATAAGTCATGGTATAGAGAGGATATTAAATTAGTTATTGAAAAGTCACTTGGAGTAAAAATCACTTCAATTTAATTTGAATATTTCATCAAGTTTTCAGGTTTGTATAAGTTACAAAGAAACATTGTTCACCAAAACGGTTTTAACATTTTATGATATTCTAAAGGCAAAGAATGAATATAAATTATCGCAGGATACCTTGTAAGGTGTTACAGGATATACTTCTTTCACTGAATAAATATTTTCTTGTGACCAAATTGAATGGAAGAAAATGACATTTTCAATTTTTTTAGCCTTTTAGGTATAAAAATGATCTCTTGTAAAAAATTTATAAAACTAAAAATGAGTTTGTAAAGAAATACATTTTGGTAGTTAATTATATTGGGATTAGTGTCTTGTATTATAACATTTTGACCAAAATTAGTCAATATTGGTAGTTAATTATATTGGGATTAGTGTCTTGTATCCAATCTAATAGTACTAAATATTGGCACCAGGTTTTCTATGCCTTCATCCTGGAAAAAAGTTGTTTTTCCTTCTCACTATTCCTTGCGCTTTGTATATGAGTAGAATATCACACACACACACACACACTAAAGCTCCACCATAGTTACCAACCCAATCCACTGAGTGTTGTGTGGTTACTGAAGATATTGGTACCTAAACCTCTTATCCATTGCAGTTCCTACTTCCCTACTTCACTTATAAGTCATTGAACTGGATTCTACTGCTGCAAAGAAAAAGCACCACTCATGCACCGCAGGTTTGTGAAGACAGATTCTTGTCTTCTCAAATTTCAGAGTTGAGCCAACTGATTTCAGTAGTCTCCCCCTCTCCCTATACTTCGAACCAAAACTCTTCTTCAAACTTAGGTTCTCTAGCTTCTATTCTCGAGGTACACAGATCATTTCAGCTAAGACTCTACTTAGCATGCAAGAAAAGAGTAAGTATGGAGAAAGATATGACCCTTAAAATTTGATCATGATCCTATCAAATAGCAGCATTTTGCCTTGAGCACAAACTCAGAAAATCATTCAGCTGCTCTTGACATGAACGTCTGTAGAAGTTCGGAAATACTTGGTACCATAGACCAAAGTCAAGATCTTCTAAAACAGAGTTACAGCACAACATTCTAAGGAAAGAATGCAGCATATTGGTTGTATGCATTTGACAAACTATAAGAAGTATTTCTATCAATCTGTATGTGCAATCCAAAATACAGGTTCCAAATTTTTCATCACTATCACTTGTCAAGAACTTCTGCTCCTGACTGAACAAAGACATCATCCCTATCCATAACAGAACATAATAATGTTTCAGCCACCCTAGCAAAGCAAAACAGGCAGGGTAACAAGGGATGAGGATTCCTGCCACATTTCAGTAAACAATCATAAAGTACAACGAAGCAACTTTTCCACTGTGAGAGTCAAATAGACTCACTCTTTGAGAGTTCTCAGGCCTGTCCGAGCTTTTCTCCTTCAGTTCAAAACAAAAACCTTCCACACTACTAGAATGGAAGGCTTAACGGAGATATGGATCTTTGACCAAGCTTTAATTGGTGTCAGAATCTGGGGTATTAGATCTCAAAACTGTTCAACCGAACTGACAATCTAAACTTCTCCCCACTGATCAGCAGAAAATTAGGAGCATCAACAGCTGTGTCATTTCCAAGGAGAATAGTGCATACGGAAAAACTGGTAATCAGGAAGGATTACGTGCAAGCGCCGAAGCCAACTGTCTGCATTTTGCAATAGAGAATTTTCTTGCTCGGATTCATGAGGTCCACCAGGACTCAAGATTGAGGTTTTCAGTTTGTATGTAGCAAGACCAAAGACTGGTAAAGAAATTCTTGAGCATGCATTTACATTTCCAAGAACTTTCCTACCAGTTGCACCATGATAGCGTGGTTGAACTGTGCTCAAAGCCGGGAAAATGACAAAAACATTACTTCAGAATAAGCACCGGGAAGTAGAAATCCACATGCATAAAACAAGTACATATGTTGTGCACACTGAGACTGGACAGGACATACCTCTTGATTGTGTGGACAAAGTATGAAAGGTTAGAAAAGAAGCATCCAGATCCCGCAATGTTGGACCCATGGGTATTCTATAAATTGGATACCTATAATAGACTGTGTCAGTTGCAAACTAAAATGCAAAACAAGAGCTTCAAATAGCTTCATCATGTTGCAGATTACTCTCGACTCCTACAGAATTTTCAACATACCAAGCTACAGAAATCCAACTAGAAGGCAGTAAATCAGCGCTCCTGCAGGTCTTCAGCTCTGGAAATTGAGATGCCAAAACTGCTATCTGATAAAGAAAAGAAGAATGCAGAAAAAAATACCCATTTAGGATTAAAATGTGATTTTTTCTTAAACACTAACAAGTGATGTACCTTGTCAGCCAATGGTCTTCGATGATGTGGTTGCTCATGCTCCAAATACTCAAACATGAGTTGCCCAGGAGACTTAGAAATTTCAGTTTCATCACTCGATGACACCGTGACAGCCTTGTCGCTCAATGACAGTCTATTTAGTCGTTGAGCATTTAGATTTACAAGACTATGCTGGTTCCGCAGCCCATCAGAAGAGGATATGGACCGCCTCTCCACTTCACAGTCACTGCTTCCACCACTGCTGGTCTCCCTTGATGACTCAGCATCACCCTCTTCACCAGGCCTGCTGGACAAAACAGGAGCACAAGATACAAGGTAGGATAGAAGTTAAATACCCAGACGCACCACATTCAAGTTACCTTTAAGTGAAAGAAAGAAATATTACCTAAAATATCTAATTAAATTTCACATTAACAATCATACAAGTAAAACAGACCGTTAATATGCAGCAATCAGTTCTTACTCGGTTTACAGCTTAGTCCTGGAGAACATGTCCAGATAAGTACTAAAAGAACAAGTTTCAACATCATACATGGAAGATGTACCAAGTGCCAATGTACTTTAGCCACTTCAGTAGCCAAAGAGGGATTCTAAAGTTCTGAAGCTAACCTAGTTTCTCACTGAACCATTTTCAGGTGCTGTTCCAGGTTCCAATCTCACAGGTATCAGTTATCACAATAAAATAAACCCCAGAACATTTGGAATACTGCTAATTTGGCATGTGTGTTTCATTACCATGGAATGGTAAAATCATGAAACAGATCATGAATCTCTAACAAAAAGCATTGCACTAGCCTATGGAAAGTACCAAACAGATAAAAATTCCAAAGTTGTCAATACAAAATTTTGCCTAGAAACCGAAAAATTTAGTTTCATGAAAAGGATTAGCAGAACCAACATGAGTTGCAGAAGTTCGTTCAGAAACTTGTGAACTGCTGGGTGCCCTAAAAAAGTACATCCACCATTTACAAAGCAAGGGAATCGCCGAATAACCTATCCAGGTAAGCCAGTAGGGTGAAGTCAACCCCCATAACACACCCTTTACAGAGCATAAAGATAATAATAGTAAAATAAGGAGAGAGAACCATGCATTTACTTTCAGAAACAAATGTTAATCCAATCAAGTAAAAAAGGTTTTAAATGGTTAGCGAGATGACGTAGAATGTACTAAAATACAGCTACTAGTTCAATAATAATAAAGCTTAAAGGGAACCCAGACTAGAATCTCAACAATGCTCAAGCAAGTCATGACAAATGTGATTAAAAAAAACTTGTGTTGTTGCAACAAAACGTGTTTATCATTTCATTATAACTTTTTAAAGATTAACAAGTATCAGCAGGAAAACAGAAATTACAAGCAACATACAAAGCTGACCACGAATTTTTTCAAAGATCAAATGGAACTTTGATTTGTACATGGAATGAGTCAGCTAAACACAGATATTACTGATGCTTAGGTACTTATAACTCTTGCAAGAACTTTTTCCACAAGCAAGTTATGAGCAAATTTAATCATCCAGTCCACATTGAATCTGGCACTGTTGGAACACAACAGCCTCAACTAGTGCAATATGACCATACTACCTACTATCTATTTATTTTTTAAATTATATTACCTGATATTTGTTTCATTAAGACCTTGTGGTGAGTATGATCAAGAGAGCAAGAAAGTGAAACACTACTACTTGCTAGTTTGACTTCTGAGATATCTTTTCACACGGACAAGAATTCCTTTTGGGATAATTGAGGACCGGCAAACGCAAGTACTCAACAGCACATGAAGTGAAACATGAAGGTCTGCTGATGGAATGAGTATATTAACTAGTATTTTACTGTTTTTATCAGTACTAGTTTCTATGTACGTGCAAAGCACATAAATCTTCAATTAATTATTTATGAACAATCAACAACAACATAACCAGTGTAATCCCACAAAGCGAGGTCTGGGGAGGGTAGAGTATGCACAGACCTTACCACTACATTAGAGGATTTATGAACAAGCAATAGATTACTTTAATTAAAAGTTATTTATAAGAAGAAAGTTTGTTTTACAATAATAATAAAGCTTATCCGCACCGGATATTTAGACCAAATCAATTCAACAACCATTAGAGGCAGGCCCAAGATATGACTATTACAGATGCGCAACTATACATCTAACACAAATCTATCGCTGGTCATAAAGATGATAATAGCAAGTATATATTATCAATCCGTACGTGGTTGATTTAAATATGCTATCCCAAGTTAGTCTTTTTTTTTTAAGCAAAAAAGGTTTATTTATTTTCTTTTTTTCTCTCATTTTGACTCTATTGAATAATATTAGAAGAAAATGGCAAGGGAACTATTTAAAAAAAATTAGAAGTGTTCATATCAATAAGACAAGTTGGTGTAGAAGCACGGGTTTGTTCAATGTTCTTTTCATCTGATTGAATAGTTAAGGTTCTTTAATTAATTAGTTTGGGAATCAAAATTTAGAAGTAGAATTTGTTTAGAACTCTTAAGGCTATTTGGATTGCTCAGCACGTTATTTGTGCTTTTTATAATAGTACAGATATTAACTCATATGAGTATAGTAATGTTTTACTTGAGATATAAGCTCCCATTTTGGAGAAGACCAGGAATCATAGATTCTTTTAAGAGCATGTTTGGAAGGCCAGTAACTAGATTTGGACATAATTACACAATTTTGTCATATTTGATTGGTCAACACAGTGTTCAGGAAAGCGAGCGCTTTAAGCGATGAAGCGAAGCGATGCGAGCCTTCTACGCTTCACAGACTAGAATGAGTATGTGAGCGCTTCATCGCTTAAAGCATGAAGCGGGGCCTTATCGTTTTTTCCGCTTCACGCTTCCCTGAACACTGGGTCAACATGTAATTGAGGGGGAGTAATTAAACTCTTCAATTTGTTTGAACCTGGTTAACGATAGTTATGCCATAAATTTGCCTAGTTATATCATAAAGGAATAAGTCGCTATCCTAAGCAAATTTATGGTATAGCTACCGTTGCTTCGATTATAAGACATCACTGGCAACAATGAGACATTCCCATAGATGACTATCGAATGATAGCTATTGCCTTAAACTAAACTTCAAGTTCATAAAATCCATGATTCCATGTGAATCCAATTCCCTCTCAAGCTTCTTTTCAGCCTAATCATCTCAACACCCAATTCTTAGCATGCGTAGTTATTAAATTCTCTTTCCTACTTCGACTGAACTTTTTGAGCCAAGGGTCTATCGGAAACAAACTCTCTATCCCACAAAAGGTAGGAGTAAGGTTTGCGTATATCCTAGCCTCCCCAGATCTCACTTGTGGGATTACGCTGGGTATGTTTTTTTTAAGACGTTGTTTCATTACCGGCATCAAGAAGATGCAAAGCGTACAAAAGTAGATATGCTAGCTCCATTACATGATAGAAGTTTAAGATCAGGGAGCCAGCCACAAAATCAAAAAATCTAGAGGAGACTTAAGCAAGACCGTGTCTGGTCTAGAGTTAAAGAGCTAACAAAATCTAAGAAAGAAGTAGAACTATTCACATAAGACAGGTTGGTCCAACAAAATAGACTGAACAAACATTTAGCTTTGAGTGAATGGTTAGGAGTTGAACTTCCATCAAAACACCGAAGGTTCCTTTCTGTCATTTCTGGGTATGTTGTTGTTATTGAATAATTATTGAAGTCTCTTGGTAAGGGGTGACTTTCTACAAGAAATGAAAATAAACACAAACGAAAGGTTGTTGCTAACTTTTGGAGTAATTCTATTACAATGATTCATTTCTATGAGTATACATGTAGCTAAAGGTGCGATCTGACAGCCGAAAACTTGAGGAAATGAGGATTACATATGTTAGTTGGTGTTTCATGTGTAAACACTCGGAGAGGATGTGGACCATTTCTTACTACATTGTCACGTAGAAGCACGTTTATGGTGGGATATCTTAAGATGGTTCGGGATACAATGCACCATGTCGGCAACTGTGAAGAATACATTACTGGGCCTAGAGAGAACAAAAGAAAAGAAATTAGGCTTTGGATGTTGCCCCATTAGTGTCTGTTGACAGTATGGAGGGGAAAAAATAAGAGAGTTTTTCAAGGGAAAGCTTGATTTTGTACATCTGAGGACTAGCTCCTATTTTTAATGTCTTCTTTGGTACACCCATGAGGTTCCCAACTTCCCGTTTATATAGGAGATTGAATGTGAGTCTTTCCCCACTACCTATAAAATCTAAATTTATGTGATAAAAAATAGGGGGGGGGGAATCAATACCTTCGTCTCAAGGAATTAGCCAATTGAAACAATTAACTTAATCCATTCCAAATTAAAGCTTGTGATTCTATGTCGTAATCTACTCAGACATAACCTCTTTTAATTTAATCCACTCAAACTGAACTAAGCAATTGAAAAATTAAAAAGGATAGCTGAAGTGGACACCAATTTAGATAGCATTTGGCAAGCAGAATAAGCATAAAGAGAAATGGCAAATAACTATAGACTAATTAGAAAAACAAACTAACACAAATAAAGAAAAAGAGCATCAAAAGTTGCCTTACCTAACACGTGAAGATGGCTTTGATGGATCTACGTACAATTGGATGCCGGATAAGAAAGGTACATAATATTGTATGATTGAATCTTTCCCATTCAACAATATTGGTACACCCACACCATAGACACTCCACTCGTTAAAAGCTTCCCAAAGATCGCCAAGGCAATAATATAGATTTGGCTCTGCTTCCCTGGCTCTACGGCCTCTTACATTCACCTGTCCATCAAAAGTGTGATAAAAAGACAAATATTATTTACTTTGATGCTATCACATTCTTAGTACAACGAATAAATCACACAATTAACGTATACCGTTCAAAAATGAAATTGCACTGGATTCCTAAATGTGAGAAATGTGAAGAAAAAATATAATCTTTAAATCAAAATGAGAAATTTTAAGATCTTGCAAACAAACCAAACAGCATTTGCTTCCTAAATATGAGACTACAACTACTACCCTTCAATCTCAAACTAGTTCAATTCAGTTGATATGAATCCTCATTATCCATTCCACTCCAATATGCAAGAGAAAGTGTAATGAAAAACAAGAACTTGAAATCTATAAGCAGCTGTCGCCCCATTTGATGATTGTTTAAGCATAGCAAAAAAGAGAAAATGTTACTTTAAAAATCAATAGCTGTATTAGCTTATAACTCATAGAATAAATGTATAGCCACTTCTCCAACTATGAAATTACTCCAAAATAAAATAAAAAAATCATATACCACAGAGAAATGCTGGGCGGGCACAAAGGGAGTAACAGATTCCATCAAACGATCCAAATTGGTAACATTTATAGGAGGCCTTGGTGGTGAAGCCGAGCATACAGAGGGCGTTTTCGACAATGTAGTAGTATTAGTCGAATCGTCCGAGTCCGTCCGGTTCCCCACCTCAGCTGCAACTACAGCCGCCTCAGCTTTAGCTGCTCTTTGCACCGGCGGCCTCTGCTGCTGTTGCTGCTGTTTCTGTAACTGCTGCTGCCGGCGCATAGCCGGAGGGTTATAAAATCGGTCAGCGCCATGGCTCCGCGACACCGCGAAGCTTCCAGAACCAGACATTATTACTCCCAATTTGTGTGTGTGTGGTGAGCTTAAACTAAAAATCTGTCAAATTGAAGAAATTCAGCAACTGAAAATGGAGAGATTTATGAAATGAGATTCGAATTGAAGTGAGAAAAAATCAAAATCTGAAACCTCACTGATTAGGGTTTTTGAGGTTTTTGGAGGTTCGCATCAATGACTTGTTGATTTTTTGGAGTTTTTGAAGGCGGAAAAATAAAAAAGGAAAATAAAGAAAATACTATTTATATTTATTATAAATAAAAATGAAAAAAATAGAAACAGAATTGTGGAGAGGAAAAAAGGGGTTTGAGCTTTCACTTTACTTTCAGATGCAGTAGTTTTGTGACACGTGTATGATTTAGCCAATCAGAGACACTGGAATGACCCCCTCGGTACTTGAATATTCCCATGTGCCCTTTTGGTACTTGGTTATTTTTGCCATATCTAAAATATAATATAAAATACAAGAAGAAATATTTATTTGTATTTGGACATGACATATAAAAGTCATAATTTATGTTAAAGATAATGTCATTCGAGATAATAATTTCAAAATTTAAATTCTTCAACAACTAAAAACATGATTAGATATAATTTCAAAATAAATATATATTGGTTACATTTAATTTTATACCAATATCTTGATTTCATTGAGCCATAAATATATATTGTGTATTCTTATTTATTGTTGAAATTACTATATTGCTCCTTCCGTTTAATTTTATTTATCCACTATTTTAAAATTTTATTTATTTATTTTCATTTATTACTTTTATAATATCAATAAAGATAATTTTTTATCTTTTAAAAAAACGTCATGTCGTAGAAAACTTGAAAAAATCCTTCTCGGATACCTGAATAGAAAAAGCTGCGAATGAAAGGCATAAAACGCATTCAGCGAATGCGATTTATGAGTAAATTTTCGTGTCTTCTTATTCGTTGTTGAAATTACTATATTAACCCTTCCGTTTAATTTTATTTGTCCGCTATTTTTAAAAATATATTTATTTATTTCATTTATTACTTTTATAATATCAAGAAAAGATAAATATTTTATCTTTTAAAAAAAGTCATGTTGTTGAAAATTTGAAAAAACTCTACTCAAATACCAAAATAGAAAGAGCTGAGAATATTAGGCATAGAACACATTCAGGTGAATGCGATTTATGAGTAAAATTATGTATCATCTTATTTATTATTGAAATTACTATTTACCGCTTCCGTTTAATTTTATTTGTCCACCATTTTCTAAATATATTTATTTATTTTATTTCTTACTTTTATAATATCAAGAAAGATAAATATTTTATATTTTAAAAAACGTCATTTCGTTGAAAACTTGAAAAACCCTTCTCAGATATCTAAATAGAAAAGGCTGAGAATGAAAAGCATAAAATGCATTCAGTGAATGCGATTTATGAGTAAAATTATGTGTCTTCTTATTTATTGTTGAAGATACTATATTAACCTTTACGTTTAATTTTATTTGTCCGCTATTTTTATTACTTTTATAATATCAAGAAAAGATAAATATTTTATCTTTTAAAAAAACGTCATGTCATTGAAAATTTGAAAAAACTCTTCTCGAATACCTAAATAGAAAGAGTTGGGAATATAAGGTATAAAACGCATTCAACGAATGCGATTTATGAGTAAAATTTTTTGTCTTCTTATTTATTGTTGAAATTACTATATCACCCCTTCCGTTTAATTTTATTTGTCCACTACTTTTGAAATTTATTTATTTATTTCATTTATTACTTTTATAATATCAAGAAAAGATAAATATTTTATCTTTTTAAAAAATATCATGTCGTTGAAAACTTGAAAAAACGCTTCTTGGATACCTAAATAGAAAGAGATGAGATTATAAGGCATAAAATGCATTCAGCGAATGCGATTTATGAGTAAAATTTTGTGTTTAAGAAATTTATTATGTGATTTTATAATTCTTTTTTTATTTGGTAAGATTGAATAAACAATTAGGGTTATTTTAATAGTTTTACAACTTGTGAGATTCTTATGTTTATGAGAAAATATACAACACAAAAATTTCATAACGCATGTCCAAACAAAATTTCAATTTCATCTCATGTTTCATATTATGATATCATATCATGATTCCATATCGCATGGCCAAACGGGCCCTAAGTAGGCATTTGGCCATGCGATACCATATCGTGATACGAAATTGTGAGATTGAATCAGAGTTCGAATATGGATTTCAAGCGGATTCCATCTCATGATTTCATATCATGGGTTGGAATACCATATTCTCCAAAAATCTTGATTTGAGAATTCCATATAATAATTTGAAATTTTTTAAAGGGTAAATTTCATATATGGCAAACTGATTTAATGAAATAACGCTCTATATATATAGTTTATCTAATTACATTTTATGGGTATAGTTTAATTTGCTATAGAGCATTTAATTTGTATATTACATTTTTTGTTTATAATTTATACAATATATTTTTTAAATAAATATATACATGAGTGCTAAATAAGGTAACATAAAATTTACATAATCTCATGATTCAAGCTAATAGTTTTAAATCAAATATTTTTCCAAAAACGAGTTCTATAACTATACAAACACCATAACATCTGGTTTCCTCATACCACTAAAGCAATATGACACGAAAAAAATTCTAGTTCATCAATATTCTTGAATATTCAACGCATAAACTTCATGTTTTGAACGGCAAAAAAGAATACAATTGATTTGTATAGTATATAATTGAAATTTTCAAAAACGAATTATCAACTTCTAATGGTTCACAAGTATATAAATTTGTTTATACAAAAATAGAGAAATTGTATATTAACAATTATATTCTAACTGTTGGTTAGAAAAATCGAATGACACAATTTGTACAATTATATGCTTTACAAATATAAACTATTTTGTGTTTGTATATAACTATAAACTATATATGTATATGATTATATGAATATAGTATTTAAATATACAAAAAATTACATATACCTCAATCAATTTTGTATATAACTACCAAAATATAGAAATCGATATATACAAACTTTTTGTATATAACTACCAAAATATATAAATCGATATAAACAAATTTATTTTATACAATTACATGACGTTCTTCAGATTTGTGAATATATGTACTGTATATGAATATAGTACTTAAATATACATATACCTCAAGCAATTTTGTATATAACTATCAAAATATACAAATCGCTACATACAAAATTATTTTATACAATTACTTGATGTTCTTCAGATTTGTCCTTAATTGATGAACCATACACAACCTCGCCAGATGCTCTTGATTGATTACTATTAAAATCATTGTATTTGGCTTTCCTCTTGTTTCCTCCTTCAACAATTTTAACCCTAAAATCGGTCTGAAAAGCAATCGAATCATCAACGATAAAGACCGATTAGGTGCACTCATTACCGGCGGCGCATGAGTAATAAACTCTAACAACATAATTCACTTTCGAAAGAATTTATGGACAAAAACAACAATAACAATGACAAGAGCAGAAACAACGACGATAACAGTCAAAATAGCAACTTCAGTAGAATCGCATCGTCCAAATGAAAGCCCAAATAGTATACAAACGAAAAAAACGAAAAAATAAAAAGATTGAGAAAAGATTTAGGCGGTTACATGTAAGATTGAAAAATCTATTAGGAGGGAGATGGAGAATTTCAAATTTCAAATTTCAAAATGGAAGTGTAAGAGTGATTTTAGGAGAGAAAAGGGGAATGTGAAGAGGAGAGAATAAATTTAATTTGTTTACAAATGCAGATAAAAAATTTCTTGGTTGGGTATACAATGAGTGGGTCCCATAATTAATGGCAAAAAAATTGAAACTGTAACCACTCATAGTAATTAAATTAAACTATACCCTCTTTAACTAATAACATACTAATGTTTGTCAACTTGTGTAATTTTCCATATTAAATACTAGTACACTATAATTTATGTTCAATTAATATTTTTTATTCAATTAAAGTTAAATGAAGTAGTTAATTAAGTGGAGAGCAAATAACTTTGTAATAATTTATTATGTGATTTTATAAACAATTGGAGTTATTTTAATAGTTTTACAACTTATGAGATTCTTATGTTTATGAGAAAATATACAACACAAAAATTCCATATCGCATGTCCAAACAAAATTTCAATTTCATCTCATGATTTCATATTATGATATCATATCATGATTCCATATCGCATGACCAAACGGGCCCTTGTATGCCTATTTAATGACAATTGTGGAAAATTAGAAATTACTTTTATTTTAACAGTAATATATATGAATCTAATGAAATAGTTAGTAAGACTTCATTTGATTTTCATGAATATAATCACGTTTTGGTAACTTCATTAACTTTGAGTTGCATGCCTAATATAACTAAGAATGAATTTTTTTAGAGTCCGGAGCCTAAAGGGCAAAAAAAATGGTCAAAAATTCCAAAAGGGCACATCACTTTTTATTTTAGCCAAAAGGGCAAAATCGCTGCGTCAGCAGCGATTTTCCTCTGACAAAATGACAAAATCGCTGCCCTAGCAGCGATTTCGTCTAAAAAATTTTTTTATTAAAAATCGCTGCTTTTTTTTCTTTAAAAAAACTAAAACAACACATCAAAAAAAAAATTAACCAAAAGGGCTTCTGACAAAACAAA